ATGAATAAGACAAGAGTAAAACCCAATATTGTGGACAAATGTATGCCTGTTTTCCTGCCTAAAACTATGCTGGTCTTATGGCATGTGCTACCTAACACACACCCAGCACCTCCAATACGGGCGGATTTGCTGGCGAGCAGGCATATGAACCCTATGTGGGCACTCAGCCCTGCTTGCCTCCGTGGCGGTCAAGCGCTTCAATCCCCAGACCCTGTCTAGACCGCCCTTCTGCTATGGCTGCCCGGGGTGTATTCTGCGTCCACTTCTGCAAAGGTTTGGTTGCAGCTGAACGCATCGTTAACTTCGCGTTTTGTACTGAGTAGAAACATGTTTGGTGCCACTGCTGCTTGCCAACAGAGTTTCAGGCAGAAACCACCTGTAGGGTCCGGTGATGGCACCAATTCTTTGCAGTGGTACATGCTGAGGACACAAACCCAAATATTGGCACCCGCACACACGGCTGATTGAGTAAGCAACTTACTCCGTAATTGGAACGTTAAAATCATGAGGTTGTCTTCGCCTTAATGCTCCTTCCTGACTGCACTAGACCGCATGAAAGCAGCAAAACCTCAAAGCTTCACGTACCCTAAACAGCTCGAGCGAAGAACAGGTGATCACACACAATTTTAAATGCAGGTAATCACACACACAAATTGAAATGCAGGTACGTGACTCCAACGTCTGGGTCATATCAGTCATGAATTCAGCCCTCTTGGTTCGGCAATCAGCGGCAAACATGAGATTGCCCCCCTGCTTGCATAAACTCATGCTCACAATCCTTAACCGCATGATAGCAAGCGGCTTGCATACACATACACGCACAAAACTGACCTTTAAGTAAGGGCAGCAAGACAGCTTGGGCTGCTTTCTGTCTCTGCATCAAGCCTGAAAGTGAAAAACCTCAATGGCATTGGCATGTGGATGATGTGATCGAACCAACTTTGTGATCTGGGTTTTCACAAACACACAAGAAGGGGTGGGAGGGAAAGAGGGAGAGAACAAGGACAGCCAGCCAGGACAAACAACGGGAAAACGAGAAAACAACGAAGGCAGAAAACAGGCAGGGGAGCACACAACAAGCAGGCGAAACACAGGAAAGGAAGGGGGGAAGGTCGGGAAAGGAAGCACGCAGGAACCCAACGCTGGCACGCAGAAGAGCAATCAGCGCAAAACAATACAGGCAACAAAGCAGAACACAGCAGCGAGACAACGGAAGCAGGACAGCACAGGGAAGGAACAAACACACACACACACACCCACTTGAGGAGGCGGCAAGGAGAGAGCGGGGTTAAGAGGAGAATGGAGAAGGATGGGAAGGAGAAAGGAGGGTGGTGTCCCAATATGCGTGCTGCAGCCATGAGGTCAGTAGGGTGAAAGACGAAAGGCGCACCCAGCTTTACTGAAGGATGGGGGGACGGGGGCTGCGCCAGGTTAAAGTATTTCAAGTACCAGAAATCCGTATGCTATAGCTTCAAGCCAATTCCCACTAAGTCCCGTCAAAATTCCGAGGTATTGCAGCACCCCCTGCACCGGAAGGCCGCTCCAACTCAATGCACGCACAGAGTGTGCAGACTGCACTCACAAGTCAGTGAGACTGTGCCCGTTCACACTGCTGATTGAGTAAGCAACTTACTCCGCACTTGGAGGGTTATAATCATGAGGTTGTCTTCGCCTTAATGCTCCTAAGAAGTCATCCTGACAGCACTAGACCGCAAGAAAATGAAAAAATGTCTTTTTTATTTTCCATACATGCGCTTTTTCATCTTCCAAAAATTTACTTCACGTGGAAAAATAAAAAACAGATAGTTTTTTGTGAAAATTCGATTTTTCAGAAATGGAATTCCGATCTGTTTCTCGTAACAATAGCGGTCTAAGGATTATGCGAAAAAATGTTTTTCCTCAGAAAACATACTTGGACTAAATCAATAGTTGTTTTCAATAGACTTATTCTAAGTATCTAGGTAGAGAGAGTCACGGGAACTTAGTCAATTTTTTCGTTTCTTTTTTTGGCGTAGTTTTTTTCGAACTGTGATTACACTACTTGTCATTCATATGTCTAACCTTTAATTGGTTCATATACAGTAGACTAGATTATGCAATCCTAAAGAAATTAATGTCAAAATCAGTAATGTAGCTAAAAGGAAAATAAACTATTAAACAAATGTGTTTTTTGAGTATAAGGTACGGAGTTCCAGTGTTGCAGGGTTAGTCATTTACCTAAGCAGTCTGGGTGAAAAACAAATAATCACACACAATTTGAAATGCAAGTAATCACACACAAATTGAAATGCAGTTGCGTGACTCCAGCGTCTCAGGGTCATATCAGTCATGAATGCAGCCCTCTTCGTGGGGCAATCAGTTGCAAACATGCGATTACCCCCCTGCTTGCATAAACTCATGCTCACAATCCTTAACCGCATGATAGCAAGCGGTTTGCATACACACACACAAAAATACGCAGTGAATTTCATGATACTTTGCAGTGCAGCTGCAGCCCTACACCATAGTTTGTGAGATATTCCTTGTGGATTCCTGTGCCCAAGCGTCGATTTGTTTCTATGGAAATACCTGCAAATTCGTTGTTACATGTGGTCATATGTTTCACCACGGTTACCTGATTCAAGAGCAGCACGTTTGAAAACAATTTGTCCCACTTCCACTTCTTGCTCTCCTTATCACCTTTAGCTAGCGCTTTCGTCCGTCACATTTTTTAAAATCAAATTTGACAAAATCATGTCATTTTTTCCGGGGTGCCAAACCCAATCACCAAGGCCCAAGTCCACTATTGTTTTTGCGATACTGCAAATATCGGATTTTATGACCTTTGTTCCATGAGGTTGAATTCTATATCCCTGAAATAAATAAATTAAAAAGGTTACGCCAAGAAACATATCAGATGCTGCGAATATATCAAGCAAAGGGACTTGATGCAACGTCGTCGAGTCACATGCACAGCAACACCAAATTCGCTGGATTTGATACCACCGAGTTCCATTTGAGAATTGTTCACAATAGGATGATACCATTTCCCCAAAGTCAAGTGGAGATTGGTTCACCATTTGAGCCCAACCACCATCGTCAAAGTCGTACTGTAACGCTGGGTTGCAGGCAAATACCCACAGCCGCCTGGTTCGCTCCTTGTGGGCACGGTGATTGGGAAACTTTTAGGTTTCGTATTTCAAAAAATCTAACATAGGCCTATACTCTGCATGGTATGTGTGTTTCATATGAACGGATTGGCGGTGTAACTCCATTTGGACATGCACATATTGTGGACCCTGCAGATGCCTAGCAGCTCAGTTGGTAGTTCAACCATCCAAAGAGGTGTGAAAATAAAACATGTTTGTTGGTTGTGGTTCAAAACCATTGCTGGTTGGTGGTTTGGAACATTTTTTTTATTTCAATATATGGGATAATCCTTCCCATTGACTAATATTTTTCAAAAGATGTTTAAACCCACCAACCAGATTGACCCTGCAAAAAAAAGGTTTGGTCCTGACTTCTCCGTTGATTTGCTGTGGCAAAGCACAATCTGTCCAGGCGGCAGAGCCTTCACAGTCCCCACAACGCTACTGGCAAGGCAGCGCGTTGACTCTCAACATGCTTTCGGTTCGAACTTGCTACGAGAAATGGAATGTTTGCAACAAGAATATATAAAGTCAAACATTTTTCTAACAAAAGAAGTGGTTAGTTCAAAGGTTGCAATCAACAGATGGGCGGCCATGAAGTGCTCGACGCAGCAAAATCGCGCCCAGTTGAGCCTCTGACTGGCGAGAATCCACGCAAGGCCCACGGAGCATGTTGTTTTGATGCTGCCAGTGCCCATATGCTGGAGAAAATCGCCAGGTCATGGTTGAGACAGTATAGGTATGTATCAAATCTGCTTGGAGCAGCAAAATCGCAGTGCATTTCGGAAACCAATGTCTGTTTTCATTGCAACAGAGATGTTGGAAGAAATGCCAAAATCTTCTGACTTCCCATTTCTTTTTGATTTGGAGTGCCCAACACTTCCTGCATCTCAACAGCATCGCAAACTGAAATTGTTCAGGAACAAACAACCGCGCAGGAGACTGTAGAACAACTTGGAAAGGGCGGGCAGCACGGAGACCCTTATGCTTTGGTTTTCCAAATATCATCGATCTCTCATCCATTTTGACCCATCATGATCCAGCATCCATCATGATCCATGACTTTGAAGGTGGACACATATGAGCCCACTTGATGGGAGGGATACAGGTGGAAAGGGAAAGAGGTTCAACACAGCACAGCTGAAGCATGTTACGCGATGCCCTGTGAGTGCTGTTAGAGAATGACCCCGTGGAACCTATCTCGTATGTAACTCTCGTTGAGTCGGTTTCTCTTTCATAATAGGGCTTTGCTTGCCGAAATCATGCTCATTTGGTTCCAAGGGTTGGGTCCTGCTATTTATGAGTCAGAAATGAATCAACTTATGATCATCAACTCCCGCCAAATGGCAATGATGTTGGATAACCTCTGGTAATCAAACATGGCTAGCTGGAAAATCACCCATTTAGTTAAATGATGTTCCGATTTTAATGCCCATTTAGCTCGGAGATTACCCAGCTTGCCATGCTTTATGACAATGGAGGGTCCTATAAAGATAGTAAGGGTCATCAGTCCTCATCACCCCAAGTCATCAACCCAGAAAATGGCTGAAAAATTTCGCCAAAATGGATGGTTCAATATGGTTCAATATGGTTCAATATGGTTCAATATGGTTCAATATGGTTCAATATGGTTTAATATGGTTCAATATGGTTCAATATGGTTCAATATGGTTCAATATGGTTCAATCCTGTTTGGTTGATTCAATACTTCATTCAATAAGAATAGCAAAACCAGAAAATACCAAACATATCCATAATGTGCTATTTTCTGGTTGCTGGATTAGTAATTTTTCATCCAGGACTATAAATACTAATTATCCATTCTTAATTTTTCATAGAGTCCTGGATGTGCTGGATAATTTTCATCTTGAGGACTCGGTGGTTGCCACCAGCGGCAGCGCGCGCGAGTCCCTGCTGGGTCTGGCTGCGGAGCGCGATCGGCTGCAACGGCAGGCCGCCGTGGAGCTGCGCTGTTCACTCTACGGCGATGTGAAACCCATGGAATGTTGGCGGATGTGCGGTATTGAAGTTGTGATTCTGGAGTGTCTGGTGATGGCTATTGCTATAAGATTTGAGATGGTTCTAAACTGTTGGATCCAGTCCCAGCCGGTTGCCTTCGCTAGTTATTTCAATTGGTGATATTGTTTGCTGCAGATGTTTATCAGTTTATCATCGTCCCATATCACAAATTGGTCGATGAGCCCAACAAGTGAAGAGCACGGCTTTTGTGACAGATGGCTCAATGACGAACCAGTCATATGAGGTCTGCACATTCCTACTCATCCCATCCCCCTAAAAAAAACGACAGCACTTGACCAGAAAAGAACAGATTCACTCGTAAACAATTTTTTGTGGGGCGAAGGGATTGCCAAATACAATCATTGATCATACCAAACCAGCAGCTTACTAGTGTTAGCTTGTTTTAGATATTTTACTATTTGATTACTATTTGGGTTTGTCTGAAAATAGGGTATATTCCCAATGATAGCCATTTAATAGGGATAATGATCAGCAAAACCATTGGGTTTAGGGGTACACTATTTTCAAACACACCCATTTGTTGTTTTTTTTTACCGGTTGATCAGCACAGCCCCTGGTCCAGGTTCAGGAGATGCGTACGGATGTCTCCAATGCTCGACAGGTGCAGCGCTGAAAAGCTTGGGAACTTTGGAACTGATACGGTTTGACACGATGAACTAAGGAAAGTCACCATGTTTCATAGGCTTAATAGATCTTAATATGATTTAATAGTATCAGGTCTATCATCGAATTACATGGGCCTTGGCTTCCATAGCAAACGTTTTTTTTTTACTGCACGCTGCCGCGACGCTGCCTGTTGCCTTGATCCATGCTGCCAGGATTTGTCGACCCAACACGCCCGGCAGAAGGTGCAGACGGATGAGTTGCCTGCGACCTCAGTGACCGGCTTTGGCAGTTGATGAATTGAGTGAGCATCAACCAGTTGCTTGGCTGGTTTGATGGTTTCATGTCTTCGAATCTTGCATCCTATTTGGATCCAGTTGGGGCATTTGATATCAAATTTGATATCAAGGAAGATCGACTTTTTTGGAACTGTTTTTTTCTTGGCGATCCCATGATTGATTGAAACCACTGGCTCTGAGGCGGACCACTTTGCAAGACCTGCAGGCTGACACAGAGCGCTTGCAGACCGAGCAGCTTGGAGCCCCAGATGCGGAAGTTTAGCGGTAGACCATCCAGGTTTGGGGCAAAAAGCACAACTTTTTAGGGAAAAAACATTTGTTGAGTGGGACATCAGATGAGAGGTGACTTCGAATCAAGTTGTTTGTAGAGTTTGTAGCTTCAGCAATGTTCTAATATTTTCTATCATGCTTTCTACAGCAAGGATTGTCATATTTGACACGCCACCAGGAGGCGACAAGCCACAGCGTTGAAGAATTCGCTGAAGGCGAGGAGGTTGTACTGCCGGATCTTCGGGATAGGCCACAGTTTTCGACATGTAAAAACACAGTTCCATGAACCGCATTCGCACCAAAGATTCTTTATACAGATAATTGACTCAAACTTCCAAGAGTGGCTCCCATCTGCTTTTACCGTGGACACCTTGAAATCTGGCTCAATCTGAGTGGGCAATAGAGATGGCAGGAGTGCAGCTACCTTTCATGTAGAGCCTAGAGCTTCACCACCAATGATGAAGTCAGTCCTCCATTTTGAACTAGATTCAGCAAAAGCACCTCCACTCTCCACAAACAATATTTAGAACCACCCGAACTTGTCTTTTAACATGAAAGGGGTTTTGAGGTTTCGAATTCTTTCAAGAATCGCGTGGAGACATGTCATTCTGTCAGTTTCTCAGGGTCAGTTTCGGTCACCCCACAGATCAGGTTGGTGACAGTTCGCGACTAGAGAAGCAGGCCCAGCATGAAACTCTACGTAGATGTGAACATATTCAGAACAATATATATATATACGTATATATATATATACATATGAGTGCATACAACAATACATAACATTACATAACATTACATAACATTACAAAACATTACATAAAATTACATAAAATGACATAACATTACATAACATTACATACAGTAACATGACATAACATTACACACAGTAACATGACATAACATGACATAACATGACATAACATTACATAACACTACATAACATTGCATAACAGTGCATAACAGTACATTACATAACAACATTACATAACAACATTACATAACAACATTACATAACAACATTACATAACATACGTACATACGTACATACGTACATATCTACATACCTACATACCTACATACCTACCTACATACCTACATACATACCTACATACATACCTACCTACATACCTACATACCTACATACCTACATACCTACATACCTACATACCTACATACATACATTCATACATTCATACATTCATACATTCATTCATTCATTCATACATACATAGAAACTTAACAACATAATAACATAACAACATAACTACATAAAATACATAGCATACATGCATACATAAGATACGTAACATACATAACACATGTAACATACATAACATACTTAGCATAACATACATACATACATGCATGCATGCATGCATGCATGCATGCATGCATACACACTCACTCACTCACTCACTCACTCACTTTCTTACTTACTTATTTACATGCTTACATGCTTACATGCTTGCATACGTACATACATTCTTACATACTTGCATACATACATACATACATACATACATACATGCGAATAGAGTGTAAGCTACGGACCACTGTACACTCTCATACAATTCAGCCCTTAAGGATCCACCGCCAAGGGGTGCGTCAACTTGCCCCTTCGGCTCAAGACCACTGCAGTACCGGAAGAAAGTTTCGCCATGCTGAAGCCGCAATTCGTGTGCCGTCATCACTGAAGACAACCACTTCAAGACCAAACATCAGTACATAATCGGGGAGATAACCTCCGATTCACAGGTTATCAGCCGTAGGACTCCTACGGAGCCTACGAGCGGGTAGCCGCGGGCCTTACAGATGACTGAACAGGATAGCAGCGATAACGCATTTTCTTTCTCTGGACATGCCGTTGCACCAGCTGCCGGCACGCAGTCAAATTCTTCACAGAGTATCGACACTGGTGGAAGCGATGCCTCAGAACTGAGAACGAGCCTACCCAGGCGACCTCTGGTTGCTCCTAGAGGGAGACAAATTTCGACAATGCAAGCAATTGAAGATAGGGACAGCACACCTGGAAAGAGAAGATCATCTGCACGACAATTGTCGCCTCCGATGACTCCAAGGACTAAGGCAAAGACTACGTCGTCGAATCCGCCTTCACCGATTCAGGACGCTACTCCATCAGGGACAGGATCTTATCAGCAAGTGAACGCCCCGTCGAGTGGTAGCGACATCTTCACTGCCTATCAGAGTGAACTAGCTGAATACAAGACATCACTGGAAAAGGCCACTGAAGAAGAATCCGTACTTCAGGCAAGATTGGCCGAGACGACAGCATATGCCTATCAACAATTTAATTTCCTGGAAAGCACCACTCATCAAGAGATGATGTCGATGACCGAACAACTCCAGATGCTGAACTTCGAGTTACAGGCTGCACAGCAAGAAGATGAAGGTGCGACCTACAGGATCGAAGAGTTGGAAAGGTATCAGACTATGTCGAATGAAGCTGCATCTCATTTGGAACTCAAATATTCACGACTACGTTCGGAATTCGATGAACAAATGGGACAAGCAAACGCAATTATGGTGCATGTGGGCGCTGACGCGAATGCTCATATCAACCAACTCAGACTGGAATTAGAGAACGCAGAGATGAATGCAAAGCAAGAAGCTCTGGCGGTCGGCTACGCTAACGACCAAACATGTGCTTTACAAATCGAGATGCCCGAGGCTGCCAATCAGAACCAGACGATGAAGCACACCATGGCCATGAATGTCAGACGACTGGAAACTGAGCTCGATGCTGCTGACATGAAGAGGGACGAGATCATGAAGGAGTTCCGTAGTAACATAAGATCTGAACATGACCGCTATGCAGAATGTGAACATCACTTAGCTTTGGAAGAATCGCAACTTCGATTGCAGGTGATCCACAATGAAAACTTACAATCTCGACTAGCGATTTCTGAGAACAGGGTTTCTGAAGAATCTCTAGCTGAATCAGGCGGCATGCGGGACATGAGGATAATGGGGCTACGTTCTGAACTGCACATGAAACAAAGTCTTTTAGATCGAATGCAACAACAACTGACTGAATCGAAGAATCAGTATCATGAACTTTCCTGTCAACAAGCCAGAAGATCTTCACCAAGCAGATCACCGCATGGAGGGCCCCTATACGAGATGTATATGCAAGCCGTGCGTGAGCGTGACAGCTTGAAGGAATCCAAGGCTGAAGTTGACAAGTGGTACTTGCAGAACAGAACTGAACTCATTGACACTGAGAATCTGCTCAAAACTTTCCAGCAAAATTTCGATGAGACTGGTAAGAAATATCAAGATGCTCTGAACAAGATCGATCACATGAGTAGCAATCCGAATGTGACAAGTAACTTGTTCGACAGTTTGCACAATGAGATCAATGACAGGGATACAGCCATTGCTCGCCTTCATACTGAACTTGAAACCCAAAGAGACTCTCTTGAGTGTGCTCACAGGGATGCAGGTAAGTCCATAAAGATGTTGAACGACAGAAGACTCGTGATCAAAGGTGCGACTGACTATTCCATTCCTGAAAGCCACTTGACCGAGATGCATCAATTGGCTAATGAGCGTTTCGCTGAGGTAGAAGAGATGTCGAGCACTATCGCTGCCCTGAGGTTGGAAAACCAAGCTCATTCTTCTTCATCATTGAATAGACCGACTTCATTACATGGGTACCCCAGTAATGCTATGCCTCGGAATGAATGTGAAGAGAAGTGTGCCAAACTGAAAGCAGAGTTGGACGAAATGAAGCAAGAGAGGAACACTGAAGTTCGAAATCTTGAAGATGAGTTGAAGAAGATGGAAGATCGGAAAGATTACTACAAGAACAATTTCTCTCAAGCTTAAGATCGTGCCAATGATGAAGAGCAGGAATACCGAGCAGAAGCTGAAGCCTTCGAGAAGCTCAGGAACGAGTACAACACCAATGTCAAGGAGTTGGAGAACCTTGAGAGGGATAGATCCAAGTCATCCGTATCTCTGAGGGAAGCCGAAAAGATCAGCCTCCAACCCTGGCCTAAGACCACTGAACTTTCATCCTGGAAGGGAAGTGTTGTTCATGAAGTTTGTGTTGCAAGTGGAGATCGAAACTATGAAGATTGGAAAGCGTGGCTAGCTCCGTGTCTTGCAGACCAACCTGACTTGGAGGCTCTGGCCAAAGCACCTGATGTGAGATTCCAATCCATTGATGCCAAGCTCTCCAATGTCTTGAGGAAAGTCATTGACAATGCTGGTGACAAGTCCATGCAAGTGAAGTATGACATGTCCATGAAGAACCAATTGTAAGGGAGAAGTGGGGACTTCATCAAGGGACGAGAACTATTCGCAATGATACTGATTAGCTTCAAATCACCTGACCACACTGAAGTTCTCTACAACGCCCATCATTTGTATATGTTCAACTACTATGGAGATGACCAGCTTGAGGCCTTCTACAACAAGTGGCTTGACATCGTATACAATATGAAACATGATGATCTGCCTTCCAACAATTCCCTGCGTGACACATTGTTCCGGAAGATTGAGCATTCAAAGCTTATGGCCTTCGATATCAACCGATACAAAACATTTGATGAAGGGCATCCCGAGAAGACCTATGCTTACCTAACTGGCATGATCAAAGGGTACATAGCACGAGGAAAGCAAGAACGACTGTTGAAGGATAGAGAACGTGCAGTGAATCTGTCATTGTCCTCTAACAAAACGACACCTGCCCTGGAAGACGC